AAAAAAGACAAGGTAATGAATAGCTTATTCTGAAATAATTTAGGAAAAAGAAGGTTATTTGTACTCTTCTTGCCACTTTTTGGTATTGAGTTATTTTTAAGTTTAATGTAAATTTTAAAAAGGAGTTAGAGTGATGAGTGTGGATACAGAAGCAACAAGGAGAGAGATGGGACAGTACTGAGCTTTTGGGGAGTCTTCAGGAGGCTGATGTAACCAGAGGGGGTGGTGTGTGGTGGGATATGGTCACTATAAGACTCGAAAGGTCTCATGGAGGCCTTGGTTACCTCGCCAGAATCCTACTCTTCTCCTCTCCTTGAATTTTAGCGTCATGGATACCGACTTATATGATGAGTTTGGGAATTACATCGGACCAGAGCTTGATTCTGACGAAGATGATGATGAATTGGGCAGAGAGACCAAAGATCTTGATGAGGTAAAGCAAACTTTTCATCTCTCTTTTTAAAAAAAGCAATGGAGTACTGAGTTCTCTGTTCACATAATACTAATACTCTGCATACATCTCTTAACATTGTCTTTTTTATAGCGTGGCTTATTGGGGTCTTATACTGCCCCCTCAAAAGCTCAGCTACTAAGGCTCCAGAAGGGAATGTGTGGTTTCATTGAGGAGGTGGTTTTGTAACCTGAACTCCGGTTCATCTGATAGTATCTTTTCCATTTGTCTGAAGTGTCTTTTAGCAATTATGAATAATTCCAACTTAGAAAAGATATTCAGTTATTCCAAATGCAGCTGCATCAGGCGCTTCCTCACAAGGTCTGCTTTTTATTTTTATTTATTTATTTATTTTTTGAGTTGGAGTCTCACTCTGTCATCTAGACTGGAGTGCAGTGGCCTCTCCCGGCCACCACAGCCTCGACCTGCTGGCCTTCGTGATCCTTCCGCCTCAGCCATCCAAGTAGCTGGAACTACAGGCGTGCACTACCACACCTGGCTAATTTTTGATTTATTGTAGAGATGAGGTCTCGCCAAGTTGCCCAGGTGGGTCTCGAACCCGCGGGCTCAGGAGTCCACTCACCTCAGCCTCCCAAAGATCAGGATTACAGGCTGAGCCACTGAGCCTGGCTTATTTTTTATTTTTTACATTTATTTATTTATTATAAAGATGTGGGGTACAATTCAGGGTTAGTATACAAACACTGCTCATGCAGGTACCCTTTTTGATGAGGTATGCCCCCCCACTCCCCTAGCAGTTTCCCTCAACTGCCAGTCCCACCCCCCCAAGCTCAGCTTTTTAAATGGCTAGGTACAGTGGCTCACACCTGTAATCCCAGCCCTTTGAGAAGCCAAGATGGAGGAATGCTTGAGCCCAGGAGTTTAAGACCAGCTTAGGCAATATAGTGAGACCTCGTCTCTACAAAAAAATCAAAAAATTAGCTAGGCATGGTGACGCACATCTGTAGTCCCAGTTAATTGGGAGGCTGAGGTGGAAGGATCGCTTGAACCCAGGAGGTCGAGGCTGCAGTGAGCCAAGATCGTGCCAGTACACTCCAACCTGGGCAACAGAGTGAGACCTCAACTCAAAAAAAAAAAAAAGATGCATGACCACAACAGAAGAGAAATAGAAAAGGAAGGAGCAGATTCCTGTGACTCCACTTCAGGAAGATGAAGTTCAGGATGGTCTGAGGCTTGCAAGAGACCCCAGAGGTGGCTTTTGTGCTCTAGCATTGTTGAGAACAAGGTGAATAAGAAGTGACTGGACCCACTGCTTGGTGGTGGATTAGCGATGCTTAGTGATAGAAATGTGGTATTAACAAGACAGCAGAACAAAAGTTCCGGCTGCCATCTATCTTTTTCATCAGAAAATATCCTTCAAGCTAGAAAAAATTAGAGTAAATGTTGGAAAAAGGAGACAGATGCCATGGAGGTGAGGCGAAAGAGCAGCTTGTAGTTGCATAGGAGTCTCCAGGCCCAGATGGGGTATGTCCTGGCTGGGGCGGAGGGAACCTTGTGGAGATAAGCTGAGAGCCACTGTGGTCATCTTGAAGAAATGTGGGGAGTGGCTGTGGTGCCAAAAAAGTAGATCAGGTAACTCATCCCAGTTTTCAAAGATGAAGTAAAGACACTGCATTCCAAGCCGGGCCCGGTGGCTCAGCCTGTAATCCCGTTCCTTGGGAGGCTGAGGTGAGTGGATTACCTGCGCCCGCAGGTTCGAGACCCGCCTGGACAACTTGGCGAGACCTCATCTCTACAATAAATCAAAAAATTAGCCAGGTGGTGGTAGCGCGCGCCTGTAGTTCCAGCTACTTGGAAGGCTGAGGTGGAAGAATAGCCGGAGCCCAGCAGGTCGAGGCTGCAGTGGCCGCTCTCTAGTCTGGGAGACACAGTGAGACTCCAACTCAAAAAAAAAAAAAAAAAGACACTGCATTTCAGAAACCACAGATGAGTAAGTATGATATACGTCCATGGTGAAATTATGGATGGAATTTTAAAGCAGATGACTGCTGAACACTTAGGAAGCTAGTATGAGTTTTATAAAAAACAGCTAGGTGTGGTGGCTCACACCTGTAGTCCCAGCACTGTGGGAGGCTAAGGTGGGGGAATCACTTGAGCCCAGGAGTTCGAGACCAGCCTGGGCAATGTAGTGAGCCCTTGTCTGTATAAAAATAAAATGAAAATTTAGCCAGATGTGGTGGAAAGTGCCTGTATTTCCAGCTATTTGGGAAGGTGAGGCAGGAGGATCACTTTAGCCCAAGAGGTTGAAGCTATGGTGAGCCAGGATCTTGCCACTGTACTCCATCCTGGGCAACAGAGTGACACCCTGTCTCAAAATAATAATAACAATAATACGTTTCTCTTGATAGTGTTTCTAGGTTGAGCAATAGGTCAGGAGGATACTGCAGACATGGTGTATCTTGACTTGGACATGACACCTGAAGTCTTCTATTGATGCCTTATCACCTGGTTTTCTTTTTTTCTTTTTA